GCAGTCACTTGCTATATGTCAGAGAGCTGGACAATGACTAGGGAGGGTAGAAGGAGAATTGATGCCTTCGAGCTATGGTGCTGGAAAAGAGTATTGACTATACCATGGACTGCTAAGAAAATAAACAGGTTCATCTGGGAGATGGTTAAAGCAGGCTGCTCCTTAGAGGCAAGGATTCTGACGCCTTTTCTGATATACTTTGTACATGTTGCAAGGAGGGACCAGTCCTTGGAGAGGACTTTCTCTTGCTGCATGTACACCTTTTAAATTTTGAAAAAAACATAAGCTTTTCCTTGCGATAAACCAAAAACCCAGTCATTGTGTTAATTCCAATTCCAACTCATAGTGACCCAGTAGTACAGAGTAGAACTGCCCCATAGCGTTCCAAGGCTATAAATATTTACAGGAGCAGCGAGCCTTGACTTCCTCTAGGCTTGCTGCTAGTAGGTTCATACCACTAGCTTTTCAATTAGCAACCTAACTCTTAACCATCTGTGCCACCAAGGCCTTGTTCTTGCATTAAAGGCTGAGTAAGGAGACAATGAAAGGATGAACTCATGATTCAGAATGATAGTTGTCTTTGGGGTAGAGAGCAGGAAACAAAAGGATATGGATCAGACATCACAAACATGATAGTCTATTGACTTAATCAGAATGTGCTTGGGTTTTAGAAGTATCTGTCTTTTCCTTTTTAGTCTCCAATTCTAGCTTTCTGCACATTCCATTATAAAACTTTGCTTTATCCTCTTGAGCTACCACTTGAAATCTTTTGTTCAGCTCTTTTACGTCAACATCTTTTCCCTTTGTTTTGGCTTCTCATCAGCGTAGTACAATTTTCAGTCCTTTCTGACACCCCTTTTGGTCTTTTCCTTCTCCTCTCTCTTTGTAATGACCTTTTGCTCTCTTCATTCATAATATCCTTGATGTCATCTCACGACTCACCTGGTCTTCAGTCGTTGATGTTCATTGCTTCAGACATTCTTCGGATGATTTTTAAATTCAGGTAAGATAGATTAAAAATCACGTTTTGGTTCTCATGAACTGGTTTTCATTTTCTTCAACCTCAATTTGAAGTTGTTCTTAAATATTGATGATCTGTGCCACAGTCCATCCCTGGCCTGATTTTGTCTGCTGATACTGCACTTCTCCAACAATTCCTTCCATAGATATAGTCAATCTGATTCCTATGCAATCTGTCAGATGAGGTCCATGTATAAAGTCACCATTGGTGTGGGTTGTTGGTTTGTTTTTGTTTGTTTGGTTTTTTTTAAAGAAAAAAGATACTTGCAATGAAAAAACAAAGTAGATTCTATGAAATAGAGATTTATAGTCTTAGAAAGTCAGTGGGGAGCACTCTGCTGTCATACAGGATGGATTGTTTTGTTGTTGAGTGCCATCAAGTCGTACAGACTCATAGCTGACCCTTCAGTGGGTTTTCAGAGGCAGTAAATCATATGAGAGAGGATTGCTCATTCTTTTCATTTGGAGCAGCTGGTGGATTCAAACCACAGGATTGTTGTGAGTTGGGATTAATTTGATAGCAATGACAACAACAACAACAACATAGAGCTCAGTTGGCCTAGTAGACAGAAAGTGATGATACCAAGCCAAAGGTCGGTGATATTAATGCATGGCCCTCCGGCCTGGTTTTAATTGTTTTTGATCAAACATTCTTCTAGGTCATATAGCCCTGGTCTGTCCACTTGCTGTACAGAGGTAACTGGTGGTTGCTGTGAAGCTGAACACTGTGACACTGATGGGTCAAATGTGGTAATGGTTACCCATTATGGACATAATGGACAGTGTTTAGTGGAGCTCCCCAATTAAAACAAGCTTAGAAGCAGGAGTGGCAGCCACTTCTGAAATAGCTTGCCTCTGGAAACTCTATGAATGTGGAGAAACGATGAAAGTTATACAAGTGTTTAGGTCTTTCTTTTACTATGACTCGACTCAATGGCACCAAACAACAACAACAATTCAGTTAATGAATCCAGTGGTGTGAATAGTGATCAAAAGCCAATAATAGGTTTCCGATGCGAGGTATAAGAGTACACTTTGCAATTCTAGCGAATGCCAATGATACTGCTTTAATTTTTATAGTACTACTATCTTTACTTTTTTAAAAAAATGTATCTCATTTAGCCCTTTTACTAACTCTGTAAAGTGAAATAAAACTGATAATTTTCACCCAGTTTGTCAAATGAGGGAACTAAGGTATTAAATAATTGTTTTGACTGGAAAACATTAATAAAAATAAAAGCTAAACCAAGACTGTGGTCCCAGAACTTTTGGCTCTTTATTGGGAAACTTAAATAATTGTGTTATTTCCAATGAATTTATACAAAAATTGTTCATTTATTAGATTTACTATTTCTTTTCCCAGTCATTCGATAGAGTATCATTTACTGGCCATCCCCAACTTAGAATATATTCAAATTTTGGTGAGCAGTAATTAAAACTGTCTGGGTTTTAGCTTTTTATGTCTTATTGTTAACAGTGTATACTACATGAAGTTCTGCAGCAAGTTAACATATATTGCTTCCAGCCTTCAAAGGCAACGATTGGATTTATAAACATAAAATAAAAGGAAGTAATAATGAAATCATGGAACAAAATTGTTATTCAGCTTACATCATAATTAGGGTGGAGTCATCAGGACAGAATAAAATTAGGAACTACCTCTTCTTAGATCTGACTAAATATCCCACAAATAGGAGTCAGATTCTCTAGGGCTGACAATGACATAGGCAACCCAAAAAGTATAGTGTGTTGTGTGTGTGTATATATATATATATATATA